AATTTTTTTTTTTTTGAGAGACAGAGTACGAGCGGGGGAGGGGCAGGGAGAGAGGGAGACCGAATCCACGAAGCAGGCTCCAGGCTCCAAGCTGTCAGCACAGAGCCCTTCGTGGAGCTCAAACCCATGAACCACGAGATCATGGCCTGAGCTAAAGTCGGACACTTAAGTGGCTGAGCCACCCGGGCTCCCCTTAAAATATTTTTAATGTTTCTTTATTTTGAGAGAAAGAGAGAGACAGAGACAGAGTATGGGCAGGGGAGAGGAAGAGAGGGAGACAGAATCCGAAGCAGGCTCCAGGCTCCGAGCCATCAGCACAGAGCCCGACGCGGGGCTCAGACTCACGGGCTGTAAGATCGTGACCTGAGCCAAAGTCGGACACTCAACCAGCGGAGCCACCGGGGTGCCCCTAAAAATTGATATTTTATAATGCTATTTTATCTCCATTTCTTCTCCAAAGCAAACCAAAACCAATGGCTCACCAGGTGGCGATTACTGCTGCTTTCCTCCGTCCCTGCTCGTGGCACGGTCACCTGCCTTTCGGGCAGCACCAGGACAGGCAGGCCGGGGACTGTGCAGGCCCCCCTCTGGCCACCCGAAATACATACATCATCGGAGGGCATCCCGAGGCTGCCGGCCATCTGGGGCTTAGGCTTGAGGCAGGGGACCTACCTTGTCCCTGGAAATCCCGGGTGACCCTGCTCTCAGGGGCCCTCTGACCACAAGCCCTCTCCCCCTGCAGGTTCTACCTGAGGCCTGTCTGGCCGGCCTGTGTGTTTCCCAGTGAAGAGCAGCCACCCCAGGACTACCCCAGCGCCCCTTCGGCAGCCCCTGGATCCGGCGCGTCCTCGATCCCGCCCCTCCGCCCCATCCTGAAGAAGACAGCCGGCCTGGGCTTCTGTATCATCTACCTCTTCTTCATCACCGGCCTCGTCTTCCCCGCCATCTCCACCAACATCGAGTCCCTGGACAAGGACTCGGGCTCACCGTGGACTACCACGTTCTTCGTCCCCCTCACCACCTTCCTCCTGTTTAACTTCGCGGACTTGTGTGGCCGGCAGGTCACGGCCTGGATTCAGGCGCCAGGGCCCAGAAGTAAGGTGCTGCCCGGGCTGGTGCTCCTCCGGACCTGCTTCATCCCCCTGTTCGTGTTCTGCAACTACCAGCCCCGCGTCCACCTGCACACGGTGGTCTTCCGGTCCGACCTCTACCCGGTGTTCTTCACCTCCCTGCTGGGGCTCAGCAATGGCTACCTCAGCGCCCTGGCCCTCATGTACGGGCCCAAGATCGTGCCCAGGGAGCTGGCCGAGGCCACGGGGGTGGTGATGTCCTTTTACGTGTGCGTGGGCTTGGTACTCGGCTCGGCCTGCTCTGCCCTGCTCGTGCACCTCATCTAAAGAGGGGCGATGGCAAGGACTTCGGTGCCGTGTGACCCTCGGGAGCCTCAGGGAGATGGGGAGCGGGGGCCGGGCCGGGCTGGGGCAGCGTGCAGGACAGAGCTGCAGCTGGGCACGCCCAGCCCTTTTCTAGCTGCTGGTTACATTCCATCTTGTTTCATAGCCTCTTCGGAACTTTGTTGCCAGTGTTGACTCGGGGCTGTTAACGAGGCCAGTGCCGAAACCGGACCACAGGCCCTTTGCCTGTCCCAGACTTTCTCCCTCCAGAGGACAGCAAAATGTGACAATTGCCAGTCCTCCCTATCCGGGGCCGGAGGGGGGAATGGGAATCCCCTGGAACGGCCAGTTCTCAGGCCCGAGACCCAAGGCCTTGCGGACCCCTGCTTTCTGTGGGTGAGAGTGCACCCACCAACCAGGCGGGGGACCCCAGAAAGACAGGCCTTCCAGGAACCCTTCATTCCCTAAACTGGGCCTCCGGAAGTCATCCCTGTGCTAGGGACTGAGGATGCCAGGCCTGCGTTTTCAAACAAGGATCCTTAAAGTGGTCTGTGGCTTGCGTCAGGGTGGGGTCTTTTAAATGTCCGTGTTTACAACATGTCAAGGCCATTGGTTCAAGGGCATAAATGCCTGGATATTCAATGAAAGCCAGATTGGTGGCTGTATTAGTTGGGGTCTTGGCAGGAAACAGCCTACTTACTCAAATTGGATAATTTGAGAATATTTGAAGAGTGGGTGTAGGAATCCTAAGGGGTTGTGTTTTATATCCCAGAAATAGGAAGATCATTCTACCTCCAGCCAGGGCTGGGGGGCAGGGGGCGTATCCAGCCCACCGTGACCCACGGGAGGTGTATTCCCTTGGTTCTTCTCTCCCTCCCGTCTCCTCGAAGGCCCCTGTGGACTGAACCACAGCCACGGAGCAGGCAGAGAGGTAGAGCCTCGGCTGGAAGGACAGAAGGTGTCCCGAGTGGGGCCATCGGCCCCTCTGGCTTTCATAGATTTACTTAGTATTCACATCAGTACAGCTCTGAAGCTTTGACCAGCAGTGCTCGGTGCTACTCTGGCCTGGTTTGTCCCAGAGAGCTGGGTATCTTGAAGTTGTTGTTTCAAAAGGCGACCCTCAGATTGTGTGGCCCCCACACGATCTTCTGACACCAGTAGTAACTTACAATTTACATTTCTTTCAGTTCCTCGAGGGCTTCTGCAGGGCTGTTCCTTGGGGGAACGGGCTGGCTTGGGAATCAGAGAGAAAGGAACTAGACCAGACCAGGAGTTCTTTCTTGAGAGAGTCGTGCAGAGAGAGCAGAGCTTGCACCCCAAGAAGCAGCAATCCTGAGAGCCATAAATCAGCCCGCTCCTTCTCCGAAGGGCTCGGGCGCCCTGGTGTCCCACAGACAGCCGACCGGCCGGGGAAGCAGCCGGTAATCCACCCGGTGGGAGCAGCTTTTGTTCCCCACCGGCTCAGGCTAGTACGCACTCCCTCTCTTCAGCCAGAGAATTAAAACAGACACCTTGAAAGGTTTTCTGGAACTTGGTATCTTGAAAAAATAATTTTTTTTTTAACTAAAAATAAATTCTCCCGTCTTCCCGCCCCTTGCAGAAGCCTGAAATCTCCCTTTTTTTTTTTTTTTTTTTT